CAGAAACTGGAGAAGCATAATGAGTTGAAGAGGAGGAGATGTAAAAGGAAAAGAACGGAAAGATAGCAGGAGCCAAATCATGGCTTAGAATGTTTTTCCAAGAGCAGAGGAAAGTTCCTTATGGGGTTTAAGCAGAGAAACGGCCTGGTCTATAATAATAAAAGCATAATATGCTAATTAGACCAGATGTCCTTCAGGATGACCTTCCAGATGAAGTGGAGCTGCAAGGGAAGCCCAGGTCCTGGGTGCCTGCCGGTGGCAGGGGAAGGAAGGCCTACTCTTACACTAATTTCATGCATCAGGCCTTTAGTATAAGCAATAATTTTAAAAAGATCACTGGCTGCTATGTGGAGCATAGATTGGAGGGTCAAGAGTGGAGGCAGATTCATTCCATGGGGGAAGGGAAAGCCATTTCTGTGCAGGGTATTGAGTGTCCAAGTCAAATCAGTTGGAATTTGCAGGCGGACAGAGCCTTCCTTCTCTAAGTAGATGAGATTGGGCAGCAGGTAAAGGGACAGGGAGGCCAAGGCAGGCCCTCTTGACCCCATAAATACCTGGACACAAAGGTTCTGCCTAGAAAGATACCTGGATATAGGTGTAATGCACCTGCAAGTGTGTTCCTGTCCCTTCCGAAGCAGGAGGAGTTCTGAGGCTGCAAAGGCTTTTTACCTGCAAAGGCACCCAGGTCAGAGAAGTGAGGCAGGAGCCAGTAATACCAGCACATCAAGAGGGCCCATCTTCTCTCTGCCTTCCTTCCTCCCCCCCCCCCTTTTTTTTTAAATAAATAATCTTCTCCAATGCCAGGTACACGGTGTTCTTCCTGACTATGGGCCAGCTGTACTCGTGCTACGCATTTCATATGTTTCTGGCAAATAACTGTAAACAGGTAGGGCAGAGCGCTAGCACAGGCGTACAAGATGGCAAAGATAGCCCAGCTGGAGCTCAAGCAGCTGCCTCCAAAGCAGCCAAGTTAGTAAAACCCAAATAATCCAACCTTTGCATTGGAACCTCCAGGTCCTCATCTCAGAGCAACAGAGAAAACTGAGCACACCTTTTCTATTTGAGAATCTTCAAGATCTTCCTATTGAACAAGGTACCTTCTAAACTCCTTACTCTGGCTCAAAAGACTTAGTAGACAGGCTTCCATCTACCCTCTGGCCCAGTGTTTTATGATAGTAAAACATACTTCTCTTCAGTATGTGTCCTGTGTTTCAACCCATCTGGAGCCATCTCCCATTCTCAAAGCTATCCAGTCCTTTCCCATCACTGAGTCTCTACTTCTGCTGTTCTTCCCAAACACAATTTTCTCCCTCCACTCTGTCCTCTCCAATGATCCAAATCACCCCCATCCTGAATGCTGATCTTCTTGAGTATTGTTCCCTGATATACACAGTGGAATCACCACCTTGTTTTTCCTTTCTCAAATCAATACTCAGTTTTCCTCGAGTATTATTATATATGCATATTTTTTCTCTATAGTCTGTGAGCTAACTGAGGCTATAAAAGTTTCTTTGCAACTACTAAAGTAACTGCTCAATAAATAGGTGTGTATTTTCAGCAATAGATCTTCAAACCTAATGCTAGAAGAAACACAAATAGTTTACATGTGTACAAATATAATGTTTACTCTAAAAGGTTAATAGCAGTTGCCTCTCTGAAATGAATCTACAGGTGTGTATCTTCATTTTTTAAATCTTTATAGTTGACTAGAGGCCTGGTGCACGTATTCATGCATGGGTAGGGTCCCTCGGCCTGGCTGTCAATCGGGGCTGATGGGGCCAGCCAGCAGGGGTAGGGACCATAGGAGGTTGGCTGGCCGCAGGAGGTTGGCTTTGGGAGCACATTGACCACTAGGGGCAGCTCCTGCATTGAGCTATGCCTCCTGGTAGTCAGTGCATGTCATAGCAACCAGTCAACCAGTCAACCAGTCATTCTGTCGACTAGTCTTAACGGTCGCTTAAGCTTTTAGAATACAAAAACAGCACAGCTCCTTCTTAGAAAAAAAAACAATCTAATATAGACATCAAGTTAAAAGTCTCCATAGATCTCTCTTCCTGCAAAAACATACCACTAAAAGTTATGTGAATAGTTTTTCTATTTTTTCATGAATATTTGAATATGCACATATAAGTTAGTTTCACACTATGATATTAATCTGCCATGTAACCTTTTTTCCTTTTTTTTTTTTTTTCCCTTTCTGTAGCCAAATTTATCCCTGAGGCCCAGCAGAGGGGATCAGGGCCCATGCGCCACAGTGTTTCTGTGGCAGCCTTCTGGGCCAGTGTTTGTCATGGGTGGGGCAGGCAGTGATGCCACGTAACTTTTTTTCTTGCTTAATGACTCATTGTCCATGATGTATTTACCATCTCTTATTGACAGACATTTAATGACTTATTTCTATTTTTTTTATGTTATTACTATCATAAAGTGCTAAAAAGAGAATCTCCAGAGATAATTTTGCTCTCTATTTCCTCTTTGTTCCTTTAGTTTTTCTAAATTTTTAACCATAAATATTTTCTGTCATCATAAAACAAAATTTTCACTTAAAAAAATGAAGTGTCTAGCCATCTTTCTTTCTCTGTTCAGAATTTCATTAAATGCTCTCTTTCAATGAATGACTTCATTCATTTATTCATTCATTTCACAAATAGGGTCATGTGCTATATAATGACAGCTATGGACCACAAACACTATGGTGGTCCCAAGGGAGCTGAAAAATTCCTACCACTTAGTCACTTTGCATGATGCACTACATTACTCGCTGGTTTGTGGTGATGTGGTATAAACAAACCTGCAGTTGTATAAAAGTATAGTACATACAGTTATGGAAAGTGCATAATACTTGATAAACAACTATGTTACTGGTTTGTGTATTTACATTCGTTTTATTATTTTAGAGTGTACCCTTTTTACTTAGAAAGTTTGTCTCATCTCTTGTTTACATCTCTTGATTGCATCATTTTCTCTTGAGTTTGATTTAATCTTGTATATTTTTGTTCCTCATGGTCCCTAAACATACAAAAGCAACTGCAAATGTTGCCGACTAAAGGCCAAGCTAAGTGCCCTAGCTGGTTTGGCTCAGTGGATAGAGTTTTGGCTCCAAGACTGATGGGTTGCAGTTCGATTTTTGTCAAGGTCACATACCTTGGTTGCAGGCTGGATCCCCAGCCCTGGTTGGGGCATGTGCTGAGGGCAACCAATGGATGTCTCTCACATTGATGTTACTCTCGGACTCTTTCTAAAAATTAATGGGGGGGAAAAACCCTCAGATGAGAATTAACAAAACAATTTTTTAAAAAGGCCAAGCTATACTTGAACTGGAAATGATATTAATATGGTTAAGGGAGCGGAGCAGCCGGCGAGCTGCCCCAACTCAGCAGAGACTTTTATCGCGATGGGCGTGGGTTCCCCGGCCCCGGGGACGCGGGGATGGGGGGCCGGGCGGGGAGGACGGGGAGGAGGCGGCAGCTTCTGGGCATCCTTTGCACCCGGCCGCCCCACCCCCTTCCCTGAGGGCTTTTGCACACGACGCACGGCGGGCGCTTCACAAGGGGCGGCGCGGCCGGTTAAAGGGCTCGGCGCGCGGAGCAGGGCGAAGTCGAGCGAGCGGAACGGTCCCAGCGCGGCGGGGCGTGCGCGAAAGGGGCGCACGGGGAGAGGCGCGAGCGTCTGGCTGGGCTCTCCCCGCAGGTGAGCTCTCCTCACAGGTGAGGTCTCCCCGCAGGTGAGGTCTTCCCGCAGGTGAAGTCTCTCCACAGGTGAGCGCGCCCGCAGTGAGCTCTCCCCGCAGGTGAGCTCTCCCCACAGGTGAGGTCTCCCCGCAGGTGAGGTCTTCCCGCAGGTGAGCTCTCCCCACCGTGAGCTCTCCCCGCAGTGAGCTCTCCCCGCAGGTGAGCTCTCCCCACAGTGAGCTCTCCCCACAGTGAGCTCTCCCCACAGGTGAGCTCTCCCCACAGTGAGCTCTCCCCGCAGGTGAAGTCTCTCCACAGGTGAGCGCGCCCTCCAGTGAGTCTCCCCGCAGTGAAGTCTCCCCGCAGTGAGCTCTCCCCGCAGTGAGCTCTCCCCGTAGTGATGTCTCCCCTCAGGTGAGCGCGCCCCGCAGTGAACTCTCCCCGCAGGTGAGGTCTCCCCGCGGTGAGGTCTCCCCGCAGTGAGCTCTCCCCGCAGTGATGTCTCCCCGCAGTGAGGTCTCCCCACAGGTGAGCGCGCCCCGCAGTGAGGTCTCCCCGCAGGTGAGGTCTCCCCGCGGTGAGCTCTCCCCGCAGTGAGCTCTCCCCGTAGTGATGTCTCCCCTCAGGTGAGCGCGCCCCGCGGTGAGCTCTCCCCGCAGTGAGCTCTCCCCACAGTGAACTCTCCCCGCAGTGAGCTCTCTCCACACTGAGCTCTCCCCGCAGTGAGCTCTCTCCACAGTGAGCTCTCCCCGCAGTGAGGTCTCCCCGCAGGGAGCTCTCCCCGCAGTGAGCTCTCTCCAGCAGTGAGCTCTCCCCGCAGTGAGCTCTCCCCGCAGTGAGCTCTCCCCGCAGTGAGCTCTCCCCGCAGTGAGCTCTCCCCGCAGTGAGCTCTCTCCAGCAGTGAGCTCTCTCTAGCATTGAGCTCTCTCCCCGCAGTGAGCTCTCTCCACAGTGAGCTCTCCCCGCAGTGAGGTCTCCCCGCAGTGAGCTCTCCCCGCAGTGAGCTCTCTCCAGCAGTGAGCTCTCTCTAGCATTGAGCTCTCTCCAGCATTGAGCTCTCTCCACAGTGAGCTCTCTCCACAGTGAGCTCTCCCCGCAGTGAGGTCTCCCCGCAGTGAGCTCTCTCCAGCAGTGAGCTCTCCCCGCAGTGAGCTCTCCCCGCAGTGAGGTCTCCCCGCAGTGAGGTCTCCCCGCAGTGAGGTCTCCTGCAATGAGGTCTCCTGCAATGAGGTCTCCCCGCAGGTGAGCGCGCCCTGCGCGCAGTGTAGGGTGAACTTCTAGGTCCCACCCCTGGGAGTCGGCGTGCGGCTCCCACCCCGGCGCCAGGCGATGAAGACCGTGGACAAGCAGCGCCTGCTGGATGCCAGGTCTGGAGCGCGGTCTTACATGGGGTCTCTGTGGCAGAATGGGGCTGGCTGGATTTCCGTGTCACGACCTGAGCTGGACTTGCCATCCATTGAGCTGCCCGTAGATGACAATCACTACTGCCACTCCTAGAAGGGTCCTGGCAGTGACTCCAAGAAGGAGCAGGCCAGGCGGCCTCTGCCATCTGCCTGGTGTTCATGATTGGGGAAATCGTCGGTGGGTACCTAGCACATAGCTTGGCCATCATGACTGATGTAGCCCATCTCCTCACTGACATTGCCAGCATGCTCATCAGCCTCTTCTCTCTCTGGATGTCTTCCTGGCCGGCCACCAAGACCATGAACTTCGGCTGGCAGCGAGCTGAGATCCTGGGAGCCCTGCTCTCAGTGCTGTCCATCTGGGTGGTGACAGGGGTGCTGGTGTACCTGGCCATAGAGCGGCTAATCTCTGGGAACTATAAGATCGAGGGGAAGACAATGCTGATCACCGCGGGCTGTGCCCTGGCCGTGAACATCATAATGGGATTAACTCTTCACCAGTCTGGCCACGGACACAGCCGTGGCTAAGGCCAAGGGCACAGCCAAGACACCATCCACAGCAGGAGAACCCCCGTGTCTGAGCTGCCTTTACCCATATGATCTGAGACTTGCTGCAGAGTGTGGGCGTCCTGGTGGCAGCCTTTATTTTATACTTCAAGCCAGAGCACAAGTACGTAGACCCCATCTGCACCTTCATCTTCTCCGTCCTGGTCCTGGGGACCACCCTGACCATCCTGAGAGAGGTGGAAGGGACCCCCAAGGGTGTGGACTTCACAGCTGTCCGGGACCTGCTGCTGTCGGTGGAGGGGGTAGAAGCCTTGCACAGCCTGCATATCTGGGCCCTGACTGTGACCCAGCCTGTGCTGTCCGTCCACATCGCCCTTGCTCAGAGCACAGATGCCCAGGCTGTGCTGAAGGCAGCCAGCGCCAGCCTACAGGGGAAGTTCAACTTCCACACCCTGACCATCCAGATTGAGGACTACTCTGAGGCCATGAAGGGCTGCCAGGCATGCCAGGGACCCTTGGACTGACTGACTGCCTGGCTCGGTGCCAACTGGAGCACAGACAGGACCTGCAGAGGGTGGGTCCCTATCCCCCCCAGGCCCAGCCAGGACTCTGTTGACTTTGGCTGTGTCATAAGCCAGATCTCTCTTCTGACTTGAGCTCCATGTTCAGCGAGAAGGAACATGAGGTGGAAGAGGCTCCGGGAAGGGGCTCTTCCCCTGCCTCCCCTCTGACTCTGGCAGCCCCGGGAGGGGGACTCGGCAGGTGCAATCCCACTCCTCCTGCTCCCAGGCCATTTCCTGGTGGGGCTGGCTTTGCTGTCTCACCACCAGCCTCAGGGAAAGGCAGTGGGAGATGCTGGAGGGGGGCCTGGCCACAGCACCCCCTGCCTACTTGCCTCATTTCCCATCGTCTTGTCCTTAGAAACCTGTAAAGAAATCTTGGGACTGAGCCCCTCTACCTCTAACACATCTGGTTTAGGAGGCCATGGGGGTTAGGGAGTTATGAGACAGACTGGTGAGCCAGGACAGTGGAATAGGGAAACAGACACATAAATGGCCAAGCTGGTTCCAGCCAGCCATGAAGAAAATCACAAAATCCCATCTCCCCTAGCCAAGGACACTTAAGAGTAAGTGGTTTGCACTTCTCCCCAACCAGAGGATAAACAGCTAAACTTTCAGGAAGACGGATCACAAAATCAAGAAGTGCCATTTATACCAACCACACCCAAGGACAGGTGAAGTTAGGGAAATAAGTCTCATTTTGGTGGATCAGCATAAAGCTGATTAGTCTATTGAGAGCCTCCCCTCAACTCCCAGCCTTTAAAACCCTCAAGATGAAGGACTTAGGAGCCTTTTCTCCCTTCCCCTCACCCCTCCCATCCCCCCTACCCCCCCCCCCCCCCAATGCATTACCTCTGCCTTTCTCCTAAGCTCCAACGGCCCTTCTGTAAGTTTCTAAGTAAACTTTCTCTTAAAATTTGAAAACAAAATATTTATATATGGTTAAGGACTACAAAGTTGGAAAATCTGAGATGGTTACTGCTCACCATCAGGCTTGTCCCATTTCACTACAGCTGCAATCTTGAAGAAAAAGAACATAGTGACAAACTTCATTAAAGACAATGAGACTGACCAAAGGTTGAGGAGGACCTGTATCAGACATGGAGAAACTTCTGATGACCTGAATTGAAGTCCAGACACAGCATAGCACTCTCTCGGCACCGTGACAATCACGGCCAAAGCAAAAAGCTTGTGATGTTGAAAGAAAAGGCTCGGCCCAACTACAGGGTTCAATTTACTGCTGGCTCTGGATGATTTTAAAGATTCAAGAATCATTATTTGTTACATAATGTGAAAGTGAATGGTGAGTCTGTGAGTGCTGATGTGAAAGCAGCTAAAGAATTTTTGGAAACTCTAGATAAGCTGACTGGGGAGGAAAACTATTTGCCAGAGCAAATATTCAGGGTAGCTGAAACCTCCCTGTTCAGGAAATGGATGCCTCCTGAAAGGACTTTCACCCACAAGGAGGCCAAGTCAATGCCAGCTTTCAAGGCTTTTAAGGACAGGAGGACAGTTTTGCTTGGGGGCAATGTTGCAGGCTACATATTGAAACCCTTTGTGATCTGGCATGGTAAGAACCCCAGTACCTTCAAGCATATCACTAAACACGCACTGCCAGTGTCCTACAAGAGCAATAAGAAGTCATGAATGACCCTGATCCCCTCCCAATATGCCCTTCTGAATTGCTATGCCAGAAACACGGAGAAATAGTGTTTGGAAAATAATACACCATTTACAATTTTGCTTATTGTTGTTCATGCTCCTGAACATCCTCATTTTATCCCCAATATCAAAGTGGTTTTTCTCCCTCTAAATACTACCTCTTTGATTTAATCAGTGGGTCCAGGAGTTACCGTAGCTTTTAAGACCTCCTACCTGAGGAGGACCATTGCCCAAGCGATTGCTGCAGCTGAATGCAATTCTGGAAAGATTACATCTATGACTGGGTGATGAATCTTGCTTGGACTTGGGGCGATGTCATCAAGGAATGTATGAGTGGCATCTGGAAGAAGACCCTCAAAAAGTTTCGTGATGAGTTCAAAGGTTTTGCCAAGGATGAGGTTGCAAAAATCAACAAGGCAGGTGTTGAGACAGCAAACAACTTCAATTTGGGTGTGGATGAAGATGATATTGAGGAGCTTCTGAGGTTGTTCCTAAGGAATTAAGTAATGAGGTGTTGTTAGAGGAATTAGAACAGGACTGTGTAACTGAATAAGAGGCAAGAGGCAAGGAGACTGCAGGAAAAGAAAAAGAAGAACCCACAAGAAAATTCACAACGAAGGTTTTAGCAGAATCTTTTGCAGACCTCATCAAGCTCCTTAAAAAGTTTGATAACATCGACCCCAATGCCAGTAGGTTTTCATCAATAGAGAGGAATGTTCACTGTGCATTATCTGCTTACAAGCAAATCTATGATGAGTGAAGCAAACCACCATGGACGTATTTCTGAAAGAGTGACACCTCCTCAAGAAGAGCCTCAGGCAGGTCCTTAGGAGGTGTTCCAGAAGGCACTGTTGCCATAGGAGACGATGGCTCCATGGCTCCATGCGTGTTATTGCACCTAAAGACTTTCAGTGGGACAAGATGTGATGTGGATGATCCTGACCCTGTTCAGAAATTTTTTTTAAAAAGCAGTTAATAGAAAAAAATAACATAGATAAAGATATAAATATTTGTACATCTGTGCCATGTTTGTGTTTTAAGCTAAGTGTTGTTACAAAAGAGTTGAAAAGTTATAAAACTTAAATTTATGAAGTAATAAGTTACAGTAAGCTATAGTTAATTATGATTGAAGAAAAATATTTTTTATATTTAGTTTTTTATAAAATTTATGTTTTTGCCTGAACCATTATTTAAAGCTAATGTCCCACGGGGCTGGTTCTGAGATGAAGAATCACAGATCACACAGAGCTGGAACTGGAATAAAGCTGGAACTGGAATAAAGGAAAATCTAGAGATTTTCTAGTTGACTAAGTCAAACAACAAATAAGGAAACAGGTTTCTTCATTCTGGTTCCAGAACAATTTATATTCCTATTCCATATTCCAATGTACACTAGTCCCCTCCCTATCCCACAAGCAGGAGGAATCCAAAATTACAATGCAGCCCCACACACCTCCCTTACAGGGGAAGGTCACCTTCCAGACCTGAAATTAGTAATGGAGCGTCCCCTGGTGGTCCGAGTACAGAAACACAACTCCTTTAGACCAGCCTGTACATTTAAACTGTGATTTTTTGTAACATCAATAATCGTCATCATCATCCATAGACCACAAAACTGCCCAGAGAAGGAGCCTTTCCTGAGCGTGAATACTCAGGTATGGATGGCCGAACTGGAGGTCTTTCAAGTCTTTTCAGTAATTGATATTGTTATAATTCCTATCGACATATATTCATATTCTTGATATAATTCATATTATTGATATACTAAAATTGATATAATTCCTCGTACCTAGAGTTCTATCTTTTAGAGTATTTTTCCTCTCTCAAGCTTTGTGATGGATGAGATGAATGAATTTAGAATAATAGACAATGGGGTCTCCACATAAATGGGAACCACTGTGTAGTTATGGCTCCTCCATTCACAATTTTGCATCTTTGAAAAAAGATGAAGGACCCTGCCCAGTTTCCACTCATCCTATGCCAAGGGATGTTTGTGATCACCACCCTGTACATAAGCCCTGGGACCCTGGGCTACCTTAAGTTTTTGGTGCCACCACCTACACATGCATCATCTGAAACCTCTTCGATGGCTGGTGAGTTCAGGCCTCAGAGCCAGAAGGGTGACATGCAGGTGGGGCTGGCTTAAGTTTATGGTCCTGAAGAACAGAAAATCATATTTTAATCTAATGCATAGATTAAACAAGTATTTGGGAAAATGTGTGATAACTTAGATTTAGTTGTCTGAGTAACTCACACTCATCAAGAAGAAGAAAGAATAGCAAGTATTTATTGAATGTTTCTCCTGCACAAAGTGGTTTCCAGACATATCTAATTTGTCCATCTACCACATAGAAGATAGGAATCC